AACCCCGGTTCTGCATTATTTCCCTCGCGAAACGTTCAACCCCTGGTCGTTCATCGCGAAATCGCTGACTTTCCCAGTTCTCCGACTGCCACTCTGCTCGAATAAAATTTCCATGGACGCAGGGCCTCGCCCGTTCCCTCCAATTTTCAGCCATCTACCCTCTATCGATCGCCACACCGACGCTACGATTATCCCGATACGGACGTCAAGAACCGGCGAAATTGTGCAGAATTCCGCATCGAATGAGCTAGATTAAAACGCTCTCCAACTGCCGCGATCGAAATGATCTCGGAAGAGGTCGAACGCTCTCGGAGAGATCCAAGGTCTCCGGGAAGATCGAGGATCTCGAGAAAAAGGCGATGGCGCAGGCAACCGATAAATTACTGGTAATCGCCGAGACGTCTAGAACCTTGCACGAGGATTAAAGAATGTTTCTCTCTTTTTTCACCCCCGACATCCGTATCGCGGAGAGAAACTCGATTTTCTTCGAGGGAGGACCGAAACGAAGGGGTTGAAAATCGATTTTCTATGGTCGAATGTAATCTTCGTTTTCGCGAATGTAATAATCGAGTGAAATTTTTGTCCAATGCGTTCCAAAATTACGAAACTAGGATACCAAAATGGCGACCAAAGATGGCGTTCAACTCCTTAATCTTCGAATCAACACGAGAGTAATTAACCGCGTGAGATTAGGACATTACGTAGAAGCGGAAATTCCATGGGAAGACACAAATTTCTTCGTCCATTATATATCATTCGCGAAGATAGCATCCCCTAATTCTCTCGCGCGCTATTTTACGCTTTACATCTTGACCGATAACGCAGTCGTTTGTCCGTGATAACGATCGCTGTTCTTCCTCGAACCCGCTATTATCGCGAATTTCTCACCCTAATCGGAAGAAATACGAGCGACCAGTGAAATTTGTTCGACTCCCTTCCCTCTTAATTCTCGCATAAATTATTATTTCGAAACGCTACCGGATGTTGGAGCAATCAAAGAATGGCCGGCCATTTTTAGCATTGGCGTAGGTGTCGCGAAAATCATTAACAAAGTGTCCGCAAACCCACGCGACGTCCGTCCGTTTTATTTTATTCTTCTCTCCTTTTTTTTTATCGGGACATACCAGAGAGTCTACTTTATTTTAAAGTAACACGAACTCAAAGGTTGAGCCGGCAATTTACCACGTTTAACATTCAACGGAGGAACACGGATCATTTGCCAGGGCGTTATCGTCGCATCTGCAAACACGCCGAGACTCCACGATTTCGCCAATTTTTCGCGCCACCGAGGAATATTTATAAAACCGGAGGGGCGTTCAATTCCAAGGACTCCATTAGCCTGTCTGGAATACGATTGCTACCGATATCGGGGGCAATAAAGTCCACGCTCAGCGGATTATCGCGAAGGCGCGGCCAGAAGGAAGTGGAACGGTGAACCCACTGAGCCGGCGAATTTCACGGTTAAGACGCTTGCAACTTGCCCCCATAGACTTTGTGTCTAGCATAGATCACGTTCGCGTAATCGATCCAGTGTCTCTGAATTTTCGCGAATTTTTAACCCTTAACCGATTTCTATTATTCGCGTGTACAATCGCACGATTTTTCCGACTATTGTCGGCGAAGCGTATATACAGGGTGGCACCAAAGCTTAGAAATTGATTCGGTTAAGACGCTTGCAACTTTGCTCCATAGACTTTGTATTTAGCATAAATCACACTCGTGTAATCGATCCAGTGTCTCTCTCTCGATCTTACTACCCGTGTCTCCGAATTTTCGCGAATTTTTAACCCTTAACCCATTTCTATTATTCGCGTGTACAATCGCGCTATTTCTCCGGCCATTGTCGCCAAAGCGTATATACAGGGTGGTACCAAAGCGTAGAAATTGATTCGATGCCTAAAAATACGTCGGAATGGAAGAATAAAATTTTTTCGTCCGTTTTTGGGGAAAATCGCGGTTAAAAATCCGCGAGGTATGCATTCTATTCGTGTTAATAAACATTTTTAGTATTTCGGTAGCTGTATTAGATAGATCGAGTAGTATAGAACACGAAAAGTCTACAGTACAGTTCACGAAGTTAAAGTATGATTAAATTTGCGCGCAGTCCATTGAATTTTCAAATTGAATTTTCCCGAAAATGCGGCCTTGTACGAGCAAATTTTATTCTTGCTTCCCGATTTATTTTTAGACGAAGAATCACCTGCTCGCTTGCTCCGCTAGTTATCCGACACCGTGTATATACGCATTCGCATTGCGAGCGAATAATAGAATTGTAACAAACATAAACGCATTAGTTCCTGATTCCCTTTTTGCTTTAACTGTTTCAACTGATAACTGAAACCTTACGCTTTTAATACTTATTAAAATACCGGTGAATCTAATTTAACAAAGATTTAGCAATAATGCGATATTTTTCATTAATTCGTATAATGCAACTGATCGTGAGTTCATCAGAATATTCAACGAATTCGATTGTACGAATTTAATATGCGATAATCATATATAAATTTAATTAACGAATTTAATTTGACGACCCGTGCCTGAAATTTTCGCTCGCGTCTAATAGGCCAGAAAGAGAATTATTCTAATTATCCTTCTTCCAACTATAATTTCCAAAATGAACGCTAGAAGCCATTAAATCGTTCCCTCTTGTGCTTACGACACGGTTAATGCACTTGTAATCTGGCTGTACATAGCAGAAGTAATATCTTACATGTGCCAGACTTACGCAATCGATCGAATATATCTTTTCTAAAAGCAATCGTTATATCCAAATTTGCGCTCGCGTACGCTTAATCCCGAAATAATGACACGGTTAATGCACTTCGAATTTGGCTCCCCATGGTAAACTTCTGTCTCACGCCAGGCTTACGTAATCAAATATATCTCCCAATAACGATGACTGCTCTCAAATATTCATCTGTCTATCCCGAAGCCTAAAATTAGGAGAAAAGCGTGCAATGAACCTGCACTCGGGAATCGGGGTGAAAAGGGAATTTCCGGCAACGGAGGAGGAAAATTTTTGGAATAAACAACTCGACGATGGAAAGCTTGGAAAGCCGTTAAAAGAGCGAAAGGAGGGAAGAGAGACGTTTTTAGAATTAACGAGATTCGTGCAATTATCGGGAACGAGGGTTGGCTTCGATTGAAACGAATCGAGAAAACGGTAAAAGAGGATAAACGAGAATACCATGAATCAGCGGGTAGCATTCAAGGCAGACTGAAGAGACGGAATAATTTTTGCCGAGACGAATACATTAGAGAAATTTCAGGAACACTCGTTGACAAAGTCGCAGCGAGCTTGCAAGCTCGGGGCAGATATAAAATAAAATGCCCACGGTGAAGAGAACAATTGACATCGCGATAGCGGAATAAACGTGACGGAAATTGAACGAACGAACGATACGAATTACGCGTGGCTTATCGTTCGGCGTAATTGTCTAGAAAAGGGTGTTTAATCGCGAAAAATTGCAGTTGTCGCTACGATAAAGTGGAATTCGTTGAATGAGAAACGAGAGAGGAACGCGAAAATTACTGCCAGACCTATCTCGAAAGACAGCACCAAAGAGTAGTTTCGCAAGAAGACGAAGAATCGTATGTAACGCTGTGCGACTTGAAAAATTGGCGAATTTGACAAGAGACAGAGGTATTTACGCTCGACCCTGTTCGCTATGCGATAGTAATCCAGAACTATCAATTTTTAATTCGCGAGTACAAACGCATAGGTCGGTACAATGTACATATTACGCTCTGTTAGTTCTACGAGTTAATTTCATCGAGCTAATACCCAAATAAGCGGAAACGTACAGTCTGTTTAAACAGAGAAACAAAACAACGATTCCTGTTTACTGTTAGACCATCTCCCATGATGTTTCCACGGTATTTCGATGTTCTGCTTCGAATTATTTGGCACATGATGTATAATACTGGTACTGATACGAAATTACGTCAGGGAAGGTTGTACCCTCGATGCCTTTCGTAAACATCATAGAAGAGTAGGTATCCTTCGATGTTATTCCTCTTCTTAGAGCAGAAGCGTGAAGAGCGAGTTGACAAGGAAAAATTCCAGGAAATCCGTGGCATCATAACACGTGAATAACTTGCAACGGTGAAACGAAGAACTTTCTCACCAATGAGTATCCGACTGACAAGGATTTATATTTCCAAGGGCGCTCGGGGTACTTCGAAAAGGATAAACAAGCATGCCTCTTCCACGCACACGAGAACCATCGTAGCTATAAAACAAACACATACAAGTGAAAAAAAAATTTCAAACAGACTCGGAAAGAATTGTGGACTCAGTCTATAAAGTTATACGAAGTTACTGAAAGGTATTCCCGATGATAAACTTCCTGATGAATAGTATAACGCGTCGTTCTTTCTCGTGCAGACGTTGAATTTCATTTAATCCCGGTACGAAACGCGAGCTATGGATCCAAATAGGACAAAACATATGTTATTCGTTAAAATGAATCGATCGGGAGATGCGAACAGATAACTGTTTAACCCCAAATCCGGAAACATCGATGAAAGCCGTTCACAACCCTCTACATTCGCTGCTGGCTGAATTATCCGGATTCCTCTGTGAAATATTTCACTCCTGCCAATTTGAACGAGTAATTCGGTACCTCGTTAAGCGTCTAGAAATGCGCTTAGCCAACATCTACAAACGCCTCTAAATTATAATATCGTACCTAAAACGAACTAGGGGAAATTAGCCCCGAAGAAATGGGGCAACCACAAAGAAACACGCCTATCCTGATGTCTGTCTTTCCGGGTATAAGTTACCTTGCTCGTGTCCCTAGAAAATTCCCTAGTACTTTAATGACTATTTTTATAAAGAAACACCGTGTCTAGGCGTCGGTATCCCCGCAATTTCCACCCCTTAAACGCTTCGAATAAAATCACCCTTTGCTTGGGACCCTCGCAAGCCGCGTGGCGTTCTCGCGATATTCTCGCGTTAAAATTACTTTTCCATCACGCACGTTTGCGATACAGACCATCAGTGTTGTCCGCGTGATAGACAGCAGGTGTTGTGCATTTTCTGCGGTTCCAAGATGCTAAGCGTGCACCCTCTGTCCCACGTAGTTCCCGGTCTCGTCGTCGGCGAACGGCGATGATGGGGTGGAAAAGAAAACTGACACGCCGGACGTGTTACGTTGGTCGAGATGTTATCGTTTCTCGCGTTATGCTCGCTGGTTTCTTTTATCGAGAGAAAGATAGAGACGACGCGTGTCGCGTATAGAAAGCGGTAGCACGCTCGTACGATGCGCGCGTCGCGATGCTCGGCCACAGACTGTCAGCTGCGTCGCGACGGAACGTCGGCGCGACGCCCGAACACGTCCGAGGACGACCGAGGACGTCGAAACGACGCCCGGTGTGCCGACGACGATGACGATGGGAAACGTGTAAACTCGACGAATCATCGCTACCATCAACTTTTACGGTCTTCAAGGAATCGTCAGCAGACGCATCGAGTGACCAGGATTAGGGCAGGAGAATCGTCTTGAATATCGATGATCCTCTGTTCCTCTAGATTAGGGACATCTTCTCTCTCTTCATCTTCTGAATTCGATGAAGTTTTCCCCGGCATCTAAAATAACATCGTGAAATATGAAGTTTGTGGAAGTTTCATGGAGAAATAAAAGGTTTCGAGTCTAGGAAATGTATACCTTGAGGAATTCCAAGAGTGAACATCCCAGGCTCGTATGCTATTCTGGTCGAGAGAAAAGGAAATTACGATAGAGGGACAAATCGAATGATTATAACGAGATTGACGGTGACAGCTTGCCGCGCAGATCAAGATAGTGTCGGAGATATCTGGCATATGCTAATGAACTTCAGCTAACAGCGAATAAGCTGTTTAATGCTATACCACGACCTCAGGGAATAATGGCTTTAATTTAGATAGTAATCGAACAGTGGCTTTCGTTATCTATTCATTATCTTATGCGAACAAAATTATTCACTACACCGTTTCACATTACTGATACGTAACAGTGCCGAGAGAAGATCAAAGGATGAAGATCTTATAAACCTTGTGGATTTTTAATAGCAACAGTGAGTTGATGGTACAACAGTGGATCAAATTATACTACGAGATAAAGACCTGGTATCTAATAGTATATCCTTTAAGCAAAGTACGTTGCAATGAAAGACGTCTAGTGTTAAATCGAAACTACATCTATCAATTTATACTATCAAGACCTGTAATTATGTCAATATTCCAGTACTCCATGGAAATTCCGTCGATACTGTAGTGTACGAATTAAATTTAGACGTGCATAACGATCAAAGCCTGGAAATTCGAGAGGATTTCTGAACACGAATCCAGTGAAACTGTTGAGTCATCGATGCATCAAATAGACTTCTATTAGATCTATCGTAAAACTAAATTTGTTGGTTGTACTCGTGATACCTAGAAGCAGAGCGGTTTACGTAAGAAATGAAATTTACGAATTCTCCGTTCGGAATGATAAGAATCGTAAATATGTTTGAGGAATACTTGACAAAGATTGATCTCCATAAAAAAAATTCCTTCCCAAGATATACCTTTCCATTTTACTCGGTACAATATCTCCTAGTCTACATCATACCTCCTTGTTCGTTATGTTCTGACAATCAGGTCTCTTTGCCCATTATGCTGGCATTTCCCCCAAATTCTCCTAAGAAAATCATACCCCTGACCAAAGCACGATAAGAGAAGCATTCATGGGCCATGAATCAATCGCTGCAGTTGCGAACGATTTTGGGAAGAAAACTGAAATACCTGGACATTTCATCAGCCGCAATGCGACATCTCTCTGAATTATCTGAAAGTCCAAGAGCTGATCTGCTATATATATAATGGACGTAAAAGATATTCACTGAACGTGAATATTCATTAAAAATATTTTAATTGACAATTTTTGAACGGAAATCCTAAAAACTAAAAAAAGTTGAAGTTAACAATGTGATTAATTTAAGAAATGTTGCAATTGACATTAATTAATTACACATCGTGACAATGTGAAAATTATGTAAGTAAATGATATAAATAATTACGTATTTGTAATTAGATTTATCATAAAATTTAGATATTTTTTGAACAATGGCTCATCTGCATTTTCACTTGACAAATATTTTCTTTCTTACCACTCACCCTTTGTAGTGCTGTCTCTTCTCTTCCTACCATCTTCCTCTGTTCCTGTCATTTTCTTGGTTATTGAATTACTGCTAGGAGATAATAGCCATTCCCAGGATCTGGAACATAAAAACAGGTTAGTAAGTATTATTATGGCACCCATTCTCCATTGAATAATAACAAATTTTTATTAAAAAGAAATCAAGACATATATATTTTATATCATATATCTCTATATGTATATAGAATATATATAGGACAATATATATAATATGGTAATAACACTTTATAATAGTCATAATCTGCAATAACAGTATATTCAAAACAAATTGAAAATTGATTTCAATTATTAGAGCATAATTTGACATATTTCATTTAACATCTTAATATTTAATAAACAAAAAGGAAATAATAAATATATTACAGTGCAAAGTTAGTATAGCACCAAGTGAATCAGCCATAATAGAAGTGATTTTTATTTTATTTGGTTAAACTTATTAACCTATATTACTTCATAAATGAAATCAGTATAAAAGCACGTAAAAAACATTACGAAACAATGCAATGGAAATTAAGTAAAATTCTACATCGATTATTCAAAATGGCCATTTGTATCTTTATATTGCATAAAACTAAATCAATCTTACCAAGTACTCTATATTCATATTTAACAACTGATTTCTCTTACTTTCGAAGATTTCGATTTTCACTTTTTGTTCTACAAATATACGTTATTGCGTTATCATTCCCAAAGTCATTGATCTTTCGTTTATTTTACATTATACAGTAACGAGTTCTGTGCATTCAACTGCGTTTATTTAATGAAATCTTACTTTATTTGTTATCCTACCGAGCAGGCAAGAATTTATGGCTGGCGCCAATGATACGATGCCCAGTATTGCTTTCTTCATCTTTTAAATCGCTATTTTTTCGTTTTGATCTTACGTATACATACATAGGAGGAGAACACGAAATAAAATTCACTTTCAACACACACAAAAAGCCATCAAATAATGGAAAACATCGATAAAAGTTAAAATTAATATCACGTTGACAGAAACCGTTCATACGCCTATAGAACGCCATCTATACTACTGAAACACCAGAAGTACTACGTGAAACATTTACGTCAAATTTAATCGTTATACATGTATACGTAAAACAAAATTTAATGAAATGTAAACTAAAATAGAAATAATTTCCGAAATATAAATTTTACAGCATCTGTATAACATTTATACAACACAACAAAGTAAAAAAAATAAAACATTGTTAATAAAACAATAATAAGAGGTATTTTAAACATATACAATTAAATTTTAGCGTCAAAAATTTAAAAAATTGCGGTTTAACGAGAACACTCTGTAGCATTTAATTGCTTCCTTCTTTTTTTCTTTGCTGGAACCAGAGCTAGTAAACCAGCGAATATCATTTCTTTGTTATAAAGAAATGATATACCAAATATATTATTTTTCATCATAATCAAATGATGTAACACTACTCCAATATATTCGTCATATAATGTACGAATGTACATTAAGTAATGTATATATGAATTCATCATAATTTGAAGAAATAACAATATATTTGTACTATGCACTGTGAGACTTAAAATTAAAGTCTACATGTACACAAATGTAATTGTCCCCACAGGGGTTTGTTGTTAACCGTAGAGAGATTTACACATTACAACAATGTGTAAACTCCCTACGGCTGGTTAGGTAGCAGCGGTAGAAATGGCTTTCGTAGCCTTCCTAACCCCTCGCACTCCCGCCTTTACCGCATCGGTAAAATCTGAATATATGTAAGAACATTCGTGCCATAGTAAGAAGCGAGAAAAAGTACAATTAGATAACCCTCTATTGAGAAATATATCAACTAAAGTCGAAGCACATCCAGTTTAGTATCATACTGCGCCATCTATACAGTTAAAAAAATTTACAGGATATTTAATTATTTCGAAATTAAACACAGCAGTTTAAAAATGTTTGGCTATATAAAAAAAAAAAAGTACGATATTATATGTATATGCAGTAAAATACTGATATAAATGTCGTAAATTTATAATAAGATATATACACCGTAAGTTCATGTTTTTAGAAAGATATCTATCATCATTCGAATGGCGAACTGACGGGCAAGAGATTCTATGATGACTAAGCGAATTTTTCTTCAAAGCGTAAAAGCTAGAGTAAAATCAAAACTTTGGTTGTCTCTTGACGTTGGAACTTGAAAATATTATTTGCTGAAAATATTCATGGAAGGAAAACGATCTATAAAAATGGTACGTTACTTTCTTTAATAATGCACAATCTCTTTTATCAATGTATCGTATGTTTTCGAAATCTATCCAGATGACGTAGACGAAAACAAACTGTCAATTGTAATTCTCCTAAAAATATATGTATTAGATATAATTTTATAGAATAGACATAAGTAGATTTTAAGATAACAAATTTCGTATGTAACTCATATTATATAATTCCAACATGTATCTATGTAGTATAAAAATTGACACAAAACTCATTATGATCAATCTTTGCACAGGATCCATTGTCACCTGGACCTTGTCTAGATATCAGTGATGATGAACTAGTGACTATATCAGTTAGAGATTTAAACAGACAGTTGAAGTTACGTGGATTATCACGAGAAGAAATAGTACGTATGAAACAACGTAGACGTACGTTAAAAAATAGAGGATATGCAGCCAGTTGTCGTATCAAACGAATTGAACAAAAGGATGAATTAGAATCAGAGAAAACCCAAGAATATCGTGATATGGAAGCTATGCAAGAAGACAATAATCGTATGAGAGAAGAAATAGAATCGTGGCATTCTAAATATCAAGCACTAAAAAAATTTGCCCTAGAAAAAAAAATTCACATTCCACCTGAATTAGAAACTATGTAAAATACTTAAGATATACCAGAGTTTTGTATTAAAAAGCAATAACGTTATTGGGTATTGAAGAAATGTATACTAAAAGTATATGATGTATAAAACTGAATTATCAACTCTTCTAAGTATTAAGAATCGAAAGAAGTTGAAGATGTATGTTAATTAAGAATAGTATTTGCAAAATGAAGTACAAAATCTACAAAAACTATGTAAATGATAATATTTGTAATCACATAGATGATCATGATTGATCTGTATTTGTATCAAAGAGTAAATATCTGGTTATGTAACATTCGTTTGTCTGTAACCTTTATTTCCGCGTGAATTTTTTACTATTAATAATTTGTAACTTCGTTTTGAAATGTAAAAAAATATATCCTTTTTTATTAAAAATATATTTGAAATATATTTCTGTGAATATCATGTAATTTTTTTTTCAGTATATAATAAAAATATTAGTCTACTAACTACGTGTACATTAATTGAATTTCCCAAAAGCCTATATTTTTGTTTACATGTAACATGCTCTGGAAATATGAAGTCTTCAGGAAAACACATTAATCTACACACTTCCTTTGGTGTAAAATATCGCAACATTAATTTTCCCAGAATTTCTGATACTTCCAATGATTGCTTATCAGACTTGTTTGCTTTGACAAATGTTTCCTTAATCAGTTCTTCTGAATATGGAGAGTATACAGAACCTGTTCCTTTTACATAGTGGCCATAAGCTTTTGTAAAACAACAAGAACCATCACTTTGTGATGTTCTTATATCTAACAACCAAGCTCTCTTTTGCAACAACTTTTTAGGGATTAAATATTGTGATTCTTCAACATTTTCTAAAATATTTTCTAACATGTAACAATTTTTACCTGTTTTAAAACTTTGTGAACATTTTTCTGCCAATAAATTATGTTTACTTTTTGGTAGAACCCTTAAAACAGCTTCTGGTAAATCAAAATTTAATATACAGTGATCAAAACAAAATTCAAGATCCTTTCTTTTAGCCAACAGATAATATCTGTATCTAGTGTTTGGGATACCAAACTTGCAAGGACTTAAAATTAATTCTTTGTAATTAAATCCACACTTATTCATACATTTTAATACTGCATTTCTCATTTCAGATTTTTCAAATCCTTTTACATTTTCAAGCAGTATATATTTCAATGTTTTTATTTGAGGAATTAATGAAAGAACATGAAGTAATGAAGAAGATCTGTTATCCAATATATCTTTCTGAAGTCCAACTCTTGTATAAGGTTGACATGGAGGACTCATTAATATAGTATTTATATTTAAATTATTTATCTCTTGTGCAGAAAGCGATTGAATATTACAATTCATAATTAATACATTTGGAAAATTATAGTTGTATATATTGTTTGCAATGGTATTTATATCAACTGCAGCAATAACTTCACCTTTAATACCACTTTCTGAAAATGAAATTTTTTGTGCGATAATTATATATTTCATTTAAATTATAACTGTATTCTTCGAAATCTTGGAATAATAAATTTAATATTCTTGTTAAAAGATAGAGGTTAAGTTTTTTCGAATAATATGAACAAATAACAATTAGATAATTCACCTTGAAGAGCATAATGCATTCCACCAATACCGCTATATAATTCCAACACTCTCATCATTAATGAATCATATAAATTTTTTTCAATGCAAATATTCGAACATCTATCACGTTCCTTGTTAACAGGAACTGTACTCGGTTACGAAATCATATCGAAATTCCATTTTTATTTATTTTCAATATTTCTTCGTTTATAATCACATAATTTATATAGACAATTTAATATTATATTTTAAAAAATTGTATGTTTCGTTACACGTAACAGATTTTTTAGTATTTGAAAATAGTAAATAATGATAACAATCGACATTAAACTAACCTAACGCGTAGTTCCACTGAGCATTCAGTGATGGAGGGTAAGCTTCGTTTTGCGTTGTATAAAATTGAACGTGCGTGATTAACATTAATTTAAAAATTTGTTCATTGCATAATTAAAAAAAATGTACGAAGTATACAATGCACTTTACATAAAAATATGATAATTAATAATTAGAGCAAGAATAAAAATGTATAATGAAAAATAATTCTAACCTGAACAATGAGTTAACTTTTATTATTATTTCGACAATCGTTTTAATCTTTATAAAATTTAAAAGAAATATTGAGCAATCATAATTTTTATCACGTAAACAAATGTCAGTAATATATTTTTAACAAAAACAAAAAAAAAGGACGAAGAGAAACAAAAGGAATATGAATTCAATGCAAGACACCACCCAAATGCAGTTGTATTGCTAAAAAATGTTTCGTAGTCGAAGCTGGTTTGGTGGAGGGCTCTGGAAGCCCAAGAATCCTCATTCCTTAGAGCATCTTAAGTATGTACATATCTAGCTAAATTTTTATTCTGTCTAAATTTTGTTCATTCCTACATACAGGTATTTATATCATATCTTATCAAAAAATCAAACTGTATCTGAAAATAATAGAGGATTATTGGTAGAAACCCTTCGGTCTATAGCTGAAATTCTAATATGGGGTGACCAAAATGATAGCAGTGTATTTGAGTAAGCATTAGTAAAGTCATTACAACTTAATTAATAATAAAGTTTCTTATACATTGAATATTAATCAGATATATCTTTTACTAGTTTCTTTTTGGAAAAAAATATGCTTTCATTTTTTCTACGTATTATGAAACAAAAATGTGGAAGCTATGTATGTGTTCAATTACTACAGACTTTAAATATATTATTTGAGAATATACGTAATGAGACATCTTTATGTAAGTTTATTACTAATGTTATTATAATTTAATTAAAAGTTTTAATAGAGTTTTAATTCAAATATTTCTTTTTAGATTATTTACTAAGTAATAATCATGTAAACAGTATAATAGTGCACAAATTTGACTTCAGTGATGAGGAGGTGATGGCATACTATATCAGTTTCTTAAAAACTTTAAGCTTGAAGTTAAATGCACATACCATTCACTTTTTTTATAATGAGGTAAACGAGGTACACGTGATAATCCTCTGTGTCTATTATTTCACTTTTGCTAATCTCATGCTCATTAATTTTAATTGTAGTTGCCTATCTATTATATATTTTATATTCTTTTTTCCTCCCAATATTAATAATACAATGTCTTTTACATATATAGATTAATGTGTATGTAAAGCTCAATCTATTCATATTATGCTTTTTACTGTGATCATTATTTCATCTTTATTATCATCATCATTACTAAATTCTGCACTCAGCACATAAAAAGGGATGTGTTTTAATTTGATTTTTTTATCAGCACACCAATGATTTTCCATTGTATACGGAGGCAATTAAATTTTTTAATCACTCAGAAGGAATGGTTCGTATAGCAGTGCGAACTTTAACTTTAAATGTATATCGAGTAGAAGATGCCTCCATGCTAGCATTTATAAGAGACCGCACTGCAGCACCCTATTTCAGCAATCTTGTATGGTTTATTGGTAATCACATTATAGAGCTTGACACTTGTGTTAGAAATGATGCTGAGTAAGTCATTTTAAAACATAATTTAAATAATTATATTAGAATGAAATTTCATAATATATTTGTTTTTCAGTCATCAAAGTCAAAACAGATTATCAGATTTAGTAGCAGAACATTTAGATCATTTGCATTATTTAAATGATATTCTTTGTTTAAATATATCTGATTTAAATAAAGTATTATCAGAACACTTGCTTCACAAATTATTAGTCCCATTATATGTTTATTCACTTATGAGACACAAAAATCTTCTGTGCCAAAATCAGGTATGTTTCCAATTAAATAAATCTATAATTATTTGGCATGGTAATAATTTATGTTTATGATTAATAGGAAGAAAGAAAACATGTGAGCATTGTTGTAGCCTTGTTTTTACTTTCTCAAGTATTTTTGATAGTCTCTCATGGTCCTCTTGTACATACACTAGCAGCAGTCATGTTACTATCAGATTTAGAAACAATACAAACAGGTGCAAGTAAAGTATTTGAAATGTATAGTAATATTTCATCAAATAAACCAATTGCTTTTTCACCACCAAAAGAAAGTTTAGAAAAATCTTTAGAAAATTTAAGCGAGACCTTAACAGTATCAGATGGACTTTGTGAAGAAGAAAATAATTTGGAAGACAAAGAAGATACTGAAAATGGAAGTGAAGAAGTTTTAGAAATAAATCATGCTAGTACATCATTTGAAACTGCTTCAACAGGAGATACACCAATGACTCCAGAACAGTTAGATATAAGCATACCAGTTGAAAATTTAGAAGAAATCAAACATTTAAATGTTACTGATGAAGAAAAGGAACAGAGATTGGCATTAGAAAGTCCTTTAACTCCACAAACACAGAAAAATGTGACTGAATCATTATCAAATAAGCCATTCTTAGAAACTATCTTAAATTCTTTACTTTGCACAGAAAATGATTATGCTGCTCTATTTGCTTTATGTTTACTGTATGCTTTAGCTAACAATCAGGTATGAAAAATACTTTGAGAATATTGTACCTAATAAAATCTTATATTATTATCTTAACAAAGAAAATTTTTAAGGGCATAGATCGTAAAACATTGGATTCAATTTTATGTAACTCGCAAAATTCAATGACAAGTTTATATAACGAAATTTTAGTAGATAGACTGATTCATATTATAACATTAAGTTACCAAACAAGTGAGTCATTTATCAAAATTTCTTTTTTCATTTTTTAAATAATAATTTACGTTTTTATAAACAATATCATTGTCAGATTCTAGAGTGAGACTTGTTACTTTGGAACTGGCAATTAAATTGTTAATACAATTAGTAATGTCAGAAGGACAAAGCATGCTAAAGGATTCACATTTGGCAGCGATTGAAACAGCTAAAGAGCAAAGCACATCTTTACTAAAGAATTTTTATAAGGTGTGTCATTTGGAATTTCCTCTCTTAAATATTAAAAAAGCCATCCAAAAAATGTTTGTATTATATTTTTAGAGTGAAGACATATTTCTAGATATGTTTGAAGATGAATACAGTGAAATTCAGAAACGACCTTTGAACGTCGAGTGGTTAATGATGGACAGTAATATTCTGTTACCACCAACAGGAACTCCAATGACGGGTATCGAATTTACTAAAAGGCTACCATGTGGAGATGTAAATATTTTGAAGATAAAAATTTCCATTTTATATTATAAATTATTAACAATATAAGTTGTTAAATTTATTGATAGAAAACAAAATTGTTTCTTGTACAGGTTGAAAGAGCTCGACGCGCTATAAGAGTGTTTTTTTTAATAAGAGATCTATCATTGACCCTTAATATGGAAGTAGAAACACAATTGCCACTAACTAATCTGGCCAATTGTATACAAGTTGACAATGTTCTTGATCTAAGTAAAAGTTATTTTATTTTAATCAATTCCAAATGAAGTATTTAGGCATCTACAAATTCCAAACTCTTACTGTTCTTTTATACAGATAATAGCGATTTAATCGCATGTACGGTTGTATGGAAAGATGGCCAGAAAATACGTCGTTTTCTAGTCATCGATGTAGTGCAATTAATTCTCGTTGAACCTGATACTAGTAAACTGGGTTGGGGAGTGGCAAAATTAGTTGGATTTCTGCAAGATATCGAAGTAGCGGGTGACAAAGACGATTCTAGATGTCTACACCTAACAATTTATAAACCTTTAAGCAGTAGTACCGGCAATCGTGTTCCACTGTTATCAACAAAATTCATTTTCGATGATCATATAAGATGTATAGCCGCTAAACAAAGGTAAGTTTGGACGGTATAATTATCACATATCTTATTTCTTGTAAACTTTATTTTTAATTAAAGGCTAACGAAGGGAAGAATAAAAGCACGACAAAAGAAAATGAATCAAATTGCAAGACTACTTGATATTCCTACAAGTATACCTCACGCAACAACTCCACCGAATTATGCATTACGTGGTTTTCGACACGAACGTAAGATACATTAGAAAATTAAGTTGGATTGATGAAAGTTATAAGAACTGGATGACATTTTGGTAATTTTAGGATTGGCAGGACGTGGTCAAAGACCGAAAGATCATCAACCGCGTCCAATGTTTACAGTAAATAAAGTTCCTGGATTTGCAGCACAAATGCGTAGAGAGAATGTTGCTAGACCTACACCCGGTCTTCAGTCATCTACTCCAAAACGTGGTGACACTGCTACAAATGAAAAAAGTCACGAAAACGGTTTACGTTCTCGAGATAGTTCACCGAAAATGCCCAGAATTTCACGAAGTGAAGAAATTCCTTTGGAAGACATGCGACTTCGAAAAGCATCTTTAACATCTAACGGACTGAATACGTCACATATATGCCAGGAAAAGAAAGATAGTCAAGTTTCTGCTTGTTCAACTAATGGTGAGTTATCAACTGTGATCAGAAAACATTCTGAAGAAACATCGTTTACCTGTCCACAAGAAGTGAAGCCACGTAGAAAGGGTCAAGTGGAAACAGTATGATTGTGGAAATAAAATACATAGGTTATACGAAATTTTTTTAGATACTTTAGAAAAAAGGGGAAAAAATAAAAATGTAAATGCAATACTGAATTAAAAGAAAAAATATTTGATTGATATAATAAAGGATTTTACTACTCGTAAAATTTTTTAAAATCTTGTGTTTCGTAATATTTTCTTTTTTTAGGGAAAAAAGCGTTTAAAAACCTAATCTTGTAAAGAAAGCAAGCTCTTATGTGTCTAGCAAAAGGTCAGGTATAGGTAAAACTAGTTTTCTTCAGTTTTATGCTATGTAACATATAAATATTTTGTACATACATTACATTTAGATACATATACATGAAATGTATGTTTTTGCTATTTAAATATTATAACCTTTCATCAGATATATTTAACAAATATGCAACAAAATCGTGTATTTAATTTATGTATATATTGTTGTTGGAAATTTCTATAACAGAAAATAAATATCAATAATGAAATAACCATTTTCTCCTAATATATTATAAAATATCATTGCTGAAAAAGTTATACAATCCAAATTATTTTAGAATGTCGATAATGGCTTTAAGAATTTATATTTTTGATAGATTTATAAACAGCATAAAAATTTTGTCATTAAATTGAAACATTAATGTCAATTAATGATCAAAATTGGTATGTAAAAGATAACTTTAAATGCACTTCTAATTATGGGTTAGACTGTATGCTCACGTAATTTTTTCAATCAAAGGAAATTAGTTCTGCTGTTTCCAGTTTTGTATCTTCTTTTACATGTGTAGATTCAGTTGATGCAGTTGGTAAAGATGTAGGTGGCTGGTATTGTAATTGTTGTCCTTGAGATACTGGAACCTGAGCCATTGTTTGCATTGTTGGTACACCAGGTCCCTGTGGACCCTGCATTGGTGGATTTGATGTTAATATTGTTCCAGCCGTGGTTCCTGGAGGTATTTGGATTGTTCCCGATCCTTGAGATGAAATAGGCGTATTTGAAACATGCGGCTGCATTGAAGGTCCTTGCGGACCTGATATCGTTGATGGTTGTTGAGGTCCCATTTGCGGTGGTAAACCAACGATTTGCCCTGGTGGACCATGCGCTCCAGGTCCTAACTGCGCAGGTGAAGGGCCCATATGACTTTGAGGTACCTGAGGCATACCCATTTGATTTGGTGGTCCCGGCTGAGTGATTTGTGGAGCACCCTGTTGCGGTGGTATATGTACGGGCGTTGGTTGTGTTTGTGTCATGTGGCTTGGTGGAGGTCCTTGTTGCGGTGGTGGTGGTGGTGGTCCCATTTGGTGTCCACCTGTCTGCTGAAGTTGCGGTATGGGATTTGTAATTTGAGACATCTTCAAAAGAAATATAAAAAACAAGTACATAAAATACATGAATCAAAATGTTTTAAATTACTTAAAAAATAATTTAGTGTACTAGGAAAAGCAAAAAGCGCGTGTATAAATTTTACAGTTTTACTAACCATGCCTGGCCCAGAAACAGAAACTCGTCCCATAGCTTCGTGTCCTTGAACTGGATCAGTTGGCTGTTGTTCTTGATTTGCTATTGGGCCCATTACATGGGGAGGCATAGAATTCATTGGTGGCATATTATAACTTTGCATAGGATATTGCTTCATAGAAGGTTGTCCATAAATGAATCCTTGATTTGTTGGTGACATAGGGTTATAGTTAGTTCCTGGTGTTTGATACTGAACATGGCGAACAGGTGAACCTTGCGATGGTCCAATAAAGCCAGAAACAGCTTGATAGCCACCTAAAATACGTTTTATAAGATAAAAATTATTGCATATTTTGGAATTATTTATTTGAGCATACCCATAATATATTGTTGCTTTTGTTGTTCTTGTCTCATTTGCATTTCTCGTTCTTGTTCCTGTATCTTTTGCAAAGCAAGTTGACGTTGATATTGCAAATATTCTTGCTTTTTCTTCCTCATAATTGCCAATTTTTGAGCCATCAACATTTGCCTTTGTCTTTCGGCTTCTTCCGCTTGCCTCCGTAATTTTTCTCTATGTTCTTCTCGTAAAGCATCTAATGCAGCTCTAGCATCTTTCATTTGTGTTAATTTATCTTGAAGACCTTCGTAGTATACTCTACTATCATCTTGTTCTTGAATATATCTCAATAATCTAAAATAATTCATTTATTATATCATAAAATATTATTTTAGGTAAGTCCAAAATATTTATTAAAACAAACCTTGAATGCATAGCTGTAATATTTAAAAATAAAGTTTGTACAGAACTATCATTAGCAATTGATCTGCCTCTGGAGGAATTACTCTTCATTCTATTAACAAAAATTTCAACTTGCGAACGCAAAGCATTAACAAATTCTTCCATCTGATTGTCAACTTCTCCATTCTGTTGTTTCGCAATTATAACTTTTTGTGGCATTGGACTGCTTATATTAGGAGCAGAAGGACTTGTAACATCTGCTCTGGAACCCTGTTCTTCTAATGCACTTTGTCTTAGTTCCCAACGTTTGCGATTCAAATACTTTGCAAGTTCGGGATCAACTTCCGTTTCTTCTTGCTAAAAAAAATACAGATTATTATATATTTCTAATGAAATCTTGCGTTTGTAGATACTAACAGGCGATGGTGGTGGAGAAGATGTTCTCACAACGCGTGTGCTAGGGGGGTTAACTTTTGCAACGCGACTTCCGCGTTTTTTTTCTTTTTCTTGATGTTCTGCTTCACTCTGGCTTAAAGCTATAGCAAGATTCAATTCTTCTTCTTCTTGCAGTTCTGCTGCTGTTTTTCTAGGAGGTACCTAACATAGAAAAGTATTATATAATATATATATTTTTTCTTTTATTTCTAGCTTTTTTATACAATTACATACTTGTTGTTGTTGAGCTAAAGAGCTATTGAGATACTCAGCAGGTAAATCTGCTTCTTTAATTTGAGTTGTGGATGGTCTGTTGAAGTAAATAAAATTGAAAACAAAAATCAAGTAAAAATATAACACAAAAACAAATGAATACTTACTTATTAACTTGCTCATAGCATACTTCACAAACCCTAACTTCTTTTTCTATTCCAAACTTAGGCAGTGTTGAAACTTTACTTGAACACTGACTACAAAACACTTGCCCACATGCTCTACAATGGTGTTTTCTTTGTACCATACCAAATGATACTCGACAACGATGACATACATCTCCATCTGCCCATGCTGGAGCAGTAACAGCAATAAACATAGCATCGCTTTCTTTCAAAGTAGGAAATTTATGTCCTTCAGTTCTCATAATGTTAAGTGTATCCTAATTAGAGTACATGCTTTATTAATATTAATATTTTATATATTTTAGTTAAAATAAGGTATACTTATATACAAAGTTTATTAAACATACTTGTACTGCCCTATATTTAACACTATTTCGAAATGCATGTGCCCAGGCTTGAATTAATTCTAATGTTTTAAGTTTAACATTTTCGTGTGTTGTTGTTTTTACCAACTCTTTAAGTTGTTCCATATATTGTATGGTACCAATTTCATCATGTATTAAAGTACCACAATTTTTGACACAAGATTCTAAAACCTATGTAAAAAAAAATGTTTATAATAGAATTGATAATTGCAATAACGAATGATTAACTTAAACATATAGTTTTATTTTTACTTACCAATAGAGCATATAAAGCTACATGTGGATTTGCATTTGTCATTTTCTTCTTGATGGCTGCAAGTGCTGCTTTAGGTCTATATATATATATATATAAAAATACAAAACTTGATTTTGCTTTTAATCCATATTTAAACAACAAGGTATTATTGTTACTATTATGAGACAATATAAATGAATAAATAAAAGATAACAAAATTATACAAAATATGAAAACAACTCAATATATACATATGAAAACTAACATGTCATTATTTCACAATGATTAAAGAATGTTGAGGTTAGCTTCAAATTAAATGATTAAATATGTACTTACTGTACATCTCCTTGACGTATTAAATCACATATTTGCAGTATTGTTACCCAGTCTGGTTCAAGTTGTAAATGACTCGTTGCTTTATCTATAAGAAATTCAAAATACAATTCGATAGTCCGACATTTTGTTCACTTCATAGATGACAATAACCTACCTAATAATTTATCAAAAGTAAGCGAGCTACGAAACATTTTGCTGTATCAAGAGTGATTTTTATTTGTAATTTCTCTTAAATACTTGGACGTTTTCGAATACTTTTGTAAATCTGACAATTAACTGAATTTAACAACTACCTACTCCCATACAGTACCGTTGTCCTACTGACTGTAATATAGTAAAGTATGAGTCACGTCATACGTACACACAACGTAAATTACAATCGATCAGCTCAATCGACTGGTACAAGAACGAGATAATCGATTTAACTTTTTAATTTTTAACATGCATCCCATAAAATTATATACTGTAATTAATTATTTATATTTAATTTTTTTTATCGTTTCTCACAATCAGGAAACATGATGGAATCTATATAAGGACTTTAAAGATTTTTGCACGGAAAATTCTTTATTTATTTATATCAATTTGCAAAAGAATCTAATACAAACACACACAATACTTATAAACATTCAATGACTACACTAGTGATACTTCGTATCTATTCTAAATCGTGTTAAACGTAGCGCTTCCTTTAAAAAATGTATTTTAACTTCGATATCTTTTCGCAATGGTAAAATTGAGAAAAGAAATTAAAGTTAATGAATAATGTTTCAATAAAGGAAGTAGTAATTAGAATAATTAAGTCGTAATTATATACAAGATTAACTTTTCAAGTTTACTGATTTTGTACTGTATTCAGAATATGGTGCTGAGGTTCTAAATACTCATTCAGTGGAAACTTTAAACACTATTAAGTTCGTTAATGCAGTTATCGTCAAACATTCTAGTAACATTTTGTGCATTTAACCGTAGATAAAATACTAATCTTTTATTACTGTATTTATCATTGTCTCCATGAATACCTTTTTTTATAGTTGTCAAATTCTATACATTCACACAAAATTGCACATTATGTAATAAAAAGCGTTTTAAAATTTTATAAAACCATGAACACATGGTTGTAAGAAAATTATTGATGCTATAAATATATATCATAAATTACTGAATACAGTCGAATATTGCATACGAGTCCCTCAACCAAACCCCCAACGTTCACAATGTATGGTTTTCCCACAATTTTACCATCTTATTGTAGAAAATCGTAGGAAAATGCCAATTATATTCGTCAATAGCAGTTAGGAATTAATTCCTACATATACATAAATCAACATAGATTAATCAATTACGACAAGATGACTGCTGAAGATCTGAGTATCTTTTCATGAGATCTTCAGTAGCCATGTTGCGAAGATATTTGCGTATGTTTTAACATTTAAAGGTTACTTCCGTCGAATATAATTACAAATCAGAAAGACCAGAAATTAATCAGAAATTGTCCTGAGAGTTTACACTGTCCATTCGAATCACTAAAAGCTGCCTATTGAGATGAAGAAAATATTTTTCAATGATTTATGGAAACAGGCTTCTGGCAGACAGATTATAGTCTTCTACCGGAATTTGCCATCTCTTGTCCCAATTTTCGAACTTGGTTCTAGCCGCATACAGTGCGCACATTGGTAATCGCGTTATACGTTCGCATCTCCTCGAAATCGACCAATATAAGAAATTTTGCGGACACTTGTACAAATAACCCTGAAGATTGTCTCTGGAGTCTCGTTTGCAACTGTAGAACGTGCTGCTGCAGCCTTGTTTATATGGGAAATGACCCTCTCCCGGGCACAGTTTCTCGGTCGATACCTTTATCTGAAACGAATGAAATATTTTTCAAGAAATCTTTCAAAATATCCGAATGTAAATTTAAAACTATATACTTACAGGAGACACAGGACTCTCTTCTAATTGTCTATAGAATCGTCCAACAGCTTTAGTACTCATACAAGCTTGATTGGTTTCGTTTTCAGGTAAGCACTGTATCTTTTGTTCATCGAAGACCGTTCCTTCTGGGCAACTTAATACCAGTACTTTGATCTCCATATTACCTTCGTTGGTACATTGATAAAATAGATTACAGTATTTTGGATGCCTTCGGAAACCAGTTGGGCAAACTAGCGTGATTTGTTCCTCGGTTAAGTTCCCAATTGGACAGGGCATTGAAACAGGTTGTTCTGTACTGGAAGTCGTTTCTTGCGATTCCGTTGTGCTACTGGTTATCGCTTCCGTGGTGGACTCGGTACTACTTTCAGTGCTAGTTTCAGATGTTAATTCAGTCGTTACCGTAGAACTGGAATCTGTACTTGCTTCAGGCGTGGGTTCCGAAGTTGCTTCAGATGTCGATTCCGTAGTTACTAGAGATGTGGATTCGGTTGCTGCTTCAGATGTTGATCCTGTAGTTACTGCAGATGTGGGTTCAGTTGTTGCTTCAGACGTGGAGTCGGTGGTTGCTTCAGACGTGGACTCGGTGGTTGCTTCAGACGTGGAGTCGGTGGTTGCTACAGACGTGGACTCGGTGGTAGCTACAGACGTGGATTCGGTGGTTGCTTCCGACGTGGATTCGGTGGTTACTGCAGATGTGGATTCGGTAGTTGCTGCAGACGTGGACTCGGTGGTTGCTTCAGACGTGGATTCGGTGGCTGCTTCAGACGTGGATTCGGTGGTCGCTTCAGACGTGGATTCGCTGGTTGCTTCAGACGTGGACTCGGTGGTTGCCTCAGATGTGGACTCGGTAGTTGCTACAGACGTTGATCCTGTAGTCGCTTCAGACGTAGATTCTGTAGTCGCTTCCGCCGTAGATTCTGTAGTTGCTTCCGATGTCGATTCTGTAGTTGCTTCTGACGTTGATTCAGTTGTTGCCTCTGACGTCGATTCAGTCGTTGCTGCGGACGTAGATTCGCTGCTAGTCGCCTCAGATGTTGATTCGGTGGTTATTTCGGTTGTAGACTCGGTGGATACTTCAGAAGTAGATTCGGAAGTCGCTTGAGATGTAGATTCTGAGGTCGATTCTGTCGTAGACTCTGAGGTTGGCGCTGTTGTAGAGTCTGTAGTTACTTCAGAAGTAGATTCTGCAGTCGATTCGGATGTGGACTCGGTGGTTGCTTCTGACGTAGACTCTGAAGTTGATTCTGACGTGGACTCTGTGGTTGCTTCAGAACTAACCGTGGATTCCGCAGCTGTACTCGTTTCTATCGAAGGTATCGTTGATGTTGTAGACACGGTGGTTCCTTCGCTTCCCTTCGACTCTGTCGTAGATTCCTCGCCACTCCCAGTAGTAGCTGTTTGTTCTGTAGTACTAGTTGTACTAGAAGAAGTGGGTATCGTGCAATCTCTTGCAGGATAAACAGATTCGGGATAATTGCATACATCGATGCTGGGATCGAATATAGTTCCAGGTGCACAATCGAAATGATACACGTTGAAGCCGTTTCCATTATCGACGCAACGATAGAATTTATCACACTGAGTGGGATGCGGGTAGAATCCCTCTTTATCACAAGTTATGGTATTATTAGGCTTTTTCGATGTACAATCTGGAATGCTAGATTCGGTAGAAGCTGACGAGGTTGAAGACGTAGAAGGTGAGGCTTCAGTACTCGGAGTTTCTTGTATTTCCGCTGGTTTTCCGGAAGTGCTTGAAGTAGCGCTTGTGGAAGTTTCTGGTTCTCCTGGTTGCGTACTACTTAGTTCAGGTGTAGTACTAGCAGATGAGCTAGTAGAAGAGCTACTGACAGGTGATGTTGAAGTAGATGTTGGCGTAGAACTTGTTGATCCTTGATCGCCTTGGCCGTGATCAATTTCATTACTTTCTGAAGAGCAAGATGCTACCTGGTTGATATAGTTGCAAGTTTCAAGAGATTGATCCCAAGCTGTACCAGCTGGGCATTCAAAGTCGTATCTTTGAAGTCCATATTGAGATTGAACGCAGCGGTAGAATTTAGTACAGTCATTTGGATTCGGGAAGAAACCTTCTCCTGAGCATTGAGATGTTCCGGAAGAGCTGGTTACAGTGGTTGTTTGCGGGCTAGAAATGGTGCTGCTCATTGGAGGTGAAGATTCTGTAACACCTGGAGATTGAGAACTGGCTGTACTTGTTTCAGCTGCTGCGGGTGTAGTGGAAGATGATGCTGTAGATTGAGAACTAGATGTACTTGATTCAGCTACAGGTGATGTAGTAGAAGATGGCACTGTAGATTGAGAACTAGATGTACTTGATTCAGTTATTGGAGGTGTAGTAGAAGATGGCACTGTAGATTCAGAAGTAGATGTACTTGATTCAGTTACAGGGGGTGCAGTGGAAGATGGCACTGTAGATTCAGAAGTAGATGTACTTGATTCGGTAACAGGGGGTGCAGTGGGAGATGGCACTGTAGATTGAGAACTAGGTGCACTTGATTCAGTTGTAGGAGGTGCAGTGGAAGATGGCACTGAGGATGTGTCAGTTATTGAACTACTGGTCGATGATGTAATACTCGATGTTGATGTAGTTGTTGTTGGACTGCTCGATGATGTGACAGTGGATGAACTGTCCGATGATGCAGAAGGCGACGTAGAACTTGATGTTGTACTACTTTCTGTTTCAGATGTAATTGGTTGTCTGGTAGTGCTACTGATTTCATTTTCAGATGAATTTGATTCTGTCGTACCTGTAGAACTGGGTGAATCAGGTTCCTTTTTACAATTAGCAACAAGATAATCGTGATTACAACTCTGAAGGGTTGAGTCCCAAGCAGTACCAGTACCGCACTGGAACTCGTACTTAGTAAATGTTGAGCCACTACCGACACAACGATAAAATTTCCGACAGTCTTGTGGATCAGGGAAAAATCCTTCTTCTGTGCATTGTGATGTTGCAGGAGATGTGCTGGTTGTTATGGTTGAAGTGCTAGACGTAGTGCTGCTTTCAGGAGGTAAATCGGAGACAGATTCTGTAACATCTGTGGACTGAATTTCAGATGTACTTGTTTGTACTGTAGGAGATGCTGATTGTGCCGTTGAGCTAATTATTGAAGGTTCAGATGACGTGACAGATGATGGTCGACTATCTGATGTAGAAGTTGTTGAAATGGTTGTTGAAGCACTAACTGTTGATTCAGTAATTAATGCAGGAGTAGGAGAGGAAGATGATGA